AATGGCAACTTAAGGAGCAGATAGGCATAACCCTGGAACCCGCTGGAAATGCTAATGAGGGTTCAGACCAATCCCTAGCTGGGGAGGCTTTTTTCTGGATATTATAACTGTACGTTCCGGAGAGAGTGAGGCAAGGTCTGAGTGCCAAGGTAACCAGCCCGGGGGCATTATGACCCACAGCAGACATCCATCATCCAAGGAAACCCATGTGGCCTTTATGAATTGGACAAGGCTGAGACTCAGTGTTTTAGTGGTAAAATCTTTTACAGTACAGGAATGTGAAAAAAACGAGCCCCCTCCCATCAAAATATCCTCTTCTGCCCTGAGGCTTTGAGGTCTCATAACTCCTCTCTTGTATTAATCTTTTTCATTTCCTGCCCCTGCCTTCTAGTCCTCCCTTCCTCACTCCCAACTCTTCCACGTTTTTTAAGTTTCTTACGTTTTCAGGTTTCTTAAAACTTATAAGTTTGAGAAGGTTCTAAGTGATGTAAGTACGGTAAATAAATGTGTAGCTCCCAGGATGCTGTTCTTCTTCAGAAGACCAGAGCTTGCAATGTGTTTGGGTGGCCACGCTAGCTTTTCAACTTCAACCCTGGTACATGTGGCCCTTTTTTGCTGATTTCCATTCGGTTCCATCCTGTTGTTCCTCCTTCCATATGCCAGCTTTCACAGAGAATGTTCTGGAATCAGACTGCTTGGGATCAAACCCTGGCTCTACTGTGAGTGACGCTGTGTGAGGTATTTTAACCTCCTTGGCGACTCAGTTTTCTTACATGTGAAGGAATGATATCACTAGCGCTTTCTCAACTATGCCAGGGAAGTAAACAATTTAATGCCTCTGAAGCATTAGCTCGGCGCAGGAGGTCCTGAAGCAGAGTTTACAAGCAATATGAGAGGCAGAGCAACAAGGCACTAACAGCAAGCGCATCAACCACGCACTGTTTTGGAAACGTGTGTAAATTATTCAATCCTCAGACAACGCCACTAACACCCTCGTTACTCTCCCTTTGCAGCTCAAGAAACAAAGACTGAATTTTGTTCAGTTCACTCAGCAAATGGTGGGCTCGGCTCAGATTTAGGCTGTTTGGCTCCACAGCAAGGACTCCGCCACTGTAACTCATTATTATTACTGCCGTGTGAACTTACACACTCGCTAGATAAATACAGCTGCTGTTGCTAGCGGTGACTGAGCACATCTTATGCATCTTCAAAGTATATTAAAAAATAGATATGAACACCGATGGAATATTGATTTAGGCTAAGGCTAGGGCCTAAAATCATCACATGGAAGCAGTTGGAAATAGGATGTTGGCACAGTGCCAAAGTGTCACCCCCTCCAATTACTTGTCAATTTTAAGAGGGAAACAAGCACCTTTATAATGAGAGAGAGAGGGAGGGAGGGAAGAAAGAGAGGGAGGGAGGGAGAGAGGGAGGGAGAGAAATCTTTAGAGCAAAATCAATGTCTAGAGCCAGAATCAAACTTGGCACTGGGAATGGTGGAACAATCCAGAATGATGTGCCTCCTGACACAATGCATTACGGAGCACGCGGTGGCCCCTTATGAAAAATGTTCATCCAGTGAGAGCGGGTGAGAGCAGGGAAAGGTGCTTGCTGCCAAGCCTGATGAGCCTGATTCCCAAACGCCACGATAGAGGAGGAGAACCAGCTCCTACAAGTTACCTCTGGCCTCCACTTGTGTGCCGTTACACGTTCATCCACACACATGTGCACAGAGTAAGTATGTGTAAGCACCAACCTTGACATGCTTTCAGTCCTAATATGGAGTTTATGTGACAAGAAAGAGGCAGACTGACTGACCAGCCACAAGGCAACAACCAATTCAGAATGTAGGGCATTTCTGCAGGTTCACTGTTCTAACTTGGAACAATAAACCTCAGTGTTGAATAGAGAGATGATATAAAGATTAGATTCTGTATTTTTGAAATGATGGTATAGGTGACAGTTCGGGACAAGATGGGGAAGGCCGATATGGACTACCTGTTAAGTAGTAGCTACTAGGGCCTCTACCTTCACAGATATAATGAAGCAAGGTGGTTATATAAGAGAATGTTCTTGTTCTTGGGTGTGAACTGAATTATTCAGGAGCAAACTGTCACTCATCTGCAACTTACAAGAAACGCAGAGAGAAACACAGCATATAGAGCAGGTGTGAAGAAGGTTAAGTTAGTAAACCTAATTGGGGCATAGTTAGCATTTTAACTTTTCATTAAGTTTGTGTACTTTTTTGATAAAGTCTTGCTGTATTGCTGTCTAGCTGGCCTGGTGGCCTTGAACTTGTACCCATCATTTTGCTTCTGCCTCCCAAGTGCTGGGATTCCATGTCCTGCTTAAATCTGTATGTTAAATTAACTTTCTTCATAAGACGGGCGCTTAACATCTTTGGCAGGCAAAGGTTTCTATCATTGTGTACGCTGCCACAGTTTCATTGAATTCTCTAAAACTTTGGGCTATGCTTGTGTACTTAAAAAGAAAAGCATTATTTACTGAGTTCTTGTTGGCTCAAGTCTATTGAAACCCGATGTGACCTTTGCTGGAGACCTTGGTGTCCTCGTGCAGGGTGTGGCGCAAGTGCCGGCACAAAGCAATCGCTCAGTAAATGTTGGTGAAATGTTTGTTGGATGAAGCTGTGATTTCCTGAAAATCCTCAAACAGTACAAAAATATAATAATGGAGAAAAAAAAGGCAGAGATATATGAGCTTGAGGCGCTCCTTTGCATCCAGAGATATGGGGAGCAAAGACTTGAGTTATACAAGATGGGGTTAACCTCCTCTACCCTCTGATTCAAATAACTATGCTAGGTGGCTTCTTGAACTTTTAAAGATTCTTGTTTATTATTATTTTATATTATTTATTATTTACATGTCCACCACATGTTACTACGGCATGGGTGTAGATTTAGGGAGTGACTTGTTGGAAGGGTTTCTCTTCTTCTGCCACACAAGTCCCAGGGCTTGAACTCAGGGTGTTAGATTTGGTGGCAAACATCTTTACTCACTGAGTCACCTGGATGTCCTCCTTCAACAAATCTTGAGCTTGCTTTGTGGGAGCTTGAAAATTCTGTCCCTTGGATGGACCCAGCAGCAACTGTGACTCAGCTAAGAAACCCCGATGGAATCACACTTAATGACATATTTGTGGGCAATTAAAGACCTTTCTAGAGCCAGGAAAAGGGGCGTGTTTGCTCAAGTTCAGGCACGAGCTCTTTAAGCTACCAACACCAGCAGGTGTTACTCTGTGGGAATTAACAAACACGTGGAAATCAGGATCACTGGCAGCTCTTCCACAAGGCAGTGGTTCCAAAAGAGATGGCTCTGGACAGCAAGAGAGATGTGTTTTGTACAAGAGATGGGAAGGAAAATGATTAAGATTTAGAGAAATAATAATGTTCCCATTATGTGCTTTCCCGGTGCCTTTCACTGAGATACGCGGTACCCATGCTAACTCCTTTATTCTCATAACTCCCTATGAGGTAGGTCTAAAACAACTGAAGGCCTGAGACATGAAAGCTGTTGTTAGCCACAAAGGCGTTTCTTCATATTGAATAGATTGATCACCTCCTTCCCCTCTGCTTCAGTAGAGTCATTTTTAAAAGATGAAAGCTATTCCAATCTAGGGAGAACAAGATTACAGTTCACTCTCAGGGGGACTCTCGGAGCTGAGTTTAAGAGGGTAGTTTTCTTCAGTGATGTGAGGCTGCTTCCTTGGGCAGAAACCCAAAACCCAAAACACACAAAAAAATTCTCAAAAAGGGTGTAAGGCAAAAGTTTTTAAAAGTTGGCATGGGGAGATCTGCCTACATTGCACACAGATCTCTGTGAGTTCAAGGCCAGCCCAGTCTACGGAGTGAGTGTCAGGACAGCCAGGGCTACACAGAGAAACCATGTCTTGTAAACAAAACAAACAAACAAACAAACAAACAAACAAAGACTACGACTGAACAGTGGCTTTTTGAAAGAGGACCTCTCTAAAATTATCCTATGAACATGTAGCTTTGTAGGCCGTGTCAAGTCACTAAAGGAGACCAAATTCAACTAAAAGTTCTTTCTGAAATCAAAAATGAAGAAAAAAAAATAAAGAAAAGGGACCCACTAAAGAATTAACAGTTTATGACAAATGTACCCAGATGTAAGACTTCCACTGAAGTTTCTCTCACTCTGACAATGTGTGCTCATGACTGCTTTATCCCTACGGCATTTTAGATCTCAAGCAGCCCCCTTTAATTTGCCTCTGGATGTGTACTTTTAATAATATGCAGAATGTTACAAGTGTCTTATTAATAAGGCTGCGATTGAGGTGAGTAGATGCAGTCATTTTCAAGTTAGTGAAAACCTGGTCTTTGCATTCCTTCCTCACGTTCTGGAACAGATGGGGACAAGAGCAGAAATTAGAGATGGTCTTAAAGACGCCACATAACTATTAATAAAGAGACAAAGATAGACAACACCCCATCCTATATCTTCCCACGGGAAGTTTTCTCGTTAAAGGAATCCAAACCAGTGCTCTTCAAAAGGAGACCAGATGCCGCCACAGCTAGCAGTTTGAGCTGGTGGAGAAGTTGAGCAAGAGAGAGTTCCTGACCTCAGATTCCAGGCTCCCTTCGCTGATGGTCAGTCCCCTGCCACCTCCCACTTCCCGACTTGGATTAAACGCTGAACCATCACTGAGGGAAACTTTTACCTCTGGGGCCCCAACATCCAAAGTCTTTTACAGATATCGCTCTCAAGCTAGTTAGTGGTGGTGCTGTTTTTATTTGCTACGAGCCGAGTAAGGACCAAGTTTCTCTAGTTCATTTGACAGAAGCCGAATCCAGTCACTATCAACATAAACCAGCTAGATGAGAGACCCGGGCTGAAGGACGGAAGAAGTATTGACAGCAATGTTTAGAAAACCAGATTTCATTAGATTTGGCTCATAGAGAACAGAATCTTTAAAGCGCTCAAGGTTTCTAGAGGGCGTGCACTCACATTGCATGACATACCTTTTGGAGGCGAAGAGGTTGAGTGTGTATCTCGACTTTGACAACGAGTTATTAGAATCGTCTTTTGCCGGTGGGAAGATGCATTCAAATGTCAAGACTGCTGCGCTTCGGCCTACAGGGTTGCGTTGTGCTGGCTTCTGAGTACCACGCAGAAGCAGGGTACAAGCCCCAGATCCATCAACACAGCTCCCTCCTCCCTGCCTCTTGCTCTCTCTCCAAGCTACCCCCAGCCAGTCTGCAGTCTGTAGGCAAACCACACAGGAACTAGCAGACACCCGGCTGCACAGAGCTGGGCGTGAGCCTTAGATTATGTGGTTTTGTTTTCTTGCTGCTAGAGTTGAACCAAAACGCAGGAGGTTCACCGAAACACGCCTGCTCCTTTATGTTTCAGTTTTAACAGTACCCCCTGCCCCCAAAGTTCACGTTCACATAAGAAAATGTCTGATCCCGAATATGGGCCATTAACAAGCTGCTGGTGGCCTCACATCTCTCCATCCAGAGAAACACAAAGGCTACGGGGTGGGGGGCTGGAGAGGGGCACGTTAGTCTCCCTGGTCAATCACAATGTTAGCATCTCAGGGAAATTGCTTGCTCTTATGATAAAAATCTCGACCCGAGAGAAAAGAAAGGGGGAGGGTGGCTCTCTGAGCCAGTTAGCAACACACACTGAGTTAACCAGCCGGTGAGCCAGAGGTTCTAAGCCCAGGTTTGCCACTGTCATGAGCAAGGACCTTTCCCTGGACCTGTGGGGCTTCACATTCTCTGAGCAGGTTGAACCCAAGGCTTTCTGAAGACTCATCATCTCCCTCAACTTTCCCGGTTCTCACCTTCACATTTCTAACCGGCCCTGCCCCCACACCACCTGCAGCCTGTGAAAGCGGCTTCCTTTCTCTTTGTTCTTCAATCTTTTTGCACAAAAAGGAGACATATTTCAACTGGCTAAGCAATGCCTTTAGAGTTTGGAGGCTGGACCCAAGGTGAAGAGGGAGATAGTGGGATGTCACTGGTGTTAATTTTGGATAGTTTTCTCCATTTGGAGTTCTAAAATTTTAACTTATTCATTCCTGTCTTCTGAGGGGACATCTCATTGCTTCTTTAAATGATGAACTTTGCTGAAGATTTGTTTTATTCTACTTGAGTTTTTTCAAGACAGGGTTTCTCTGTGTATCCCTAGCTGTCCTGGAACTCACTCTGTAGGCTAGGCTGGCCGCAGACTCAGAGACACCCCTGCCTCTGCCTCCTGAGTACACAACCACCATCAGGCTTGAAGAGTTATTTTTTAAAATCCTTTTCTCGTTATAATTGTTTTCTTCTTCTTCCTCCTCCTCCTCCTCCTCCTCTTCTTCTTCTTCACCTTCTTCACCTTCTTCTTCTTTTTTTTTTTTTTTTTAGACAGGATTTTCGTATATAATGTAGCCAAGGCTATGTCGAGAACTCTCCAGCTTCTTGCTGCAGCCTCAAGACTTGGGTCCTGCCTGCTCAATTGCTGGAGTTATAGCTGTGTACTACCACAGCTGCCTGGTTAAGCATTTCAATTGAAACGGGAAGGAAGAAGCCTGATGATAGAATTGGCAAGCTACCTTGCTCCTAGTAGGTGCTCAGCAAATATTCCTCAAATGAGCTAGAAGAAGAAAATTCGCAGCCCCCAACTCCTTGGTGATAGGATTTTAAGAAGATTTTTAGTTGTAATTGTGTGCATGTGTATAGGTATGTACATATGAATTATGAGCATATGTGTAGGTATGTATATATGAATGCAATGCCCACAGAGACCAGTGGAGTGCTGGGTCTCCTGAGGTTGGGGTAACAGGCCACAGTAAGCTGCCAGACATGAATCTCTGCAAGAGTAGTGTGTGCTCTTCTGCACTAGGTCATTTCTCTAGCTTTTTTTTTTATTATTATTATTAATGAAAGTTTGTACAATTTCCTTAAAGCTGAGTTGCATGTGAACAGGATCATGTTAGGAAGATGTTTTCATGTTAGGAAGAATTTTAAGGATCAAATCATCACTGATTTTAAAACAGTAACTCTGGCGTCACAGTCCTGCCCTTGTGATCTAAGGGCCTTCTTAGGTCCCATCATCATATCAAACAGCTCCACGGGCAAGTTTCAGGGCTCTGAAAGTGTCTGGCTAGCAGTAGTTCCCGCGTCTTCAGCATGGAATGCTTAACCATGACCCACTTGGCTTGCAGGACTGGGGCGTGGGCAGGAAGGGTGAATGGTTCTATCCAGAACCTCTGAGAGGATTTTCAGCATATACCCTAATGGGGAATCCCTCCCCTTCCAAGTAAAGGGCAGACTGCAGAGCCGAAGAACCCCAGAGAGAACTGATTTTGCCAGCAAGCACTGACTGACTAGCAGACATGGCAGGCAGCACACGAGGGGGGGAGGAAGCCACTTCAGTGGTTTACTTTATGTCACTTCTGCTCTGCGACTGAAGGAGGACAAAGTCGCAGCTTAGGAATGAAGACCCCAGTGTGAGGACATCTGTATTTCAGCCTTCGCTGTCAGAAGACACTTAGAAAAAAAATAGCAAGTAATTGGGAGGATTCAGGAGGTGTGAAATCCCACTATCCTCAGTGGAGAAATTTCTTTTAAAAACCACCCTTGCTTAAAAAAATTCAGCAGCTCCTTTTGAAGGGTCATCGTTCATAACGGAACTTCTTTTGCGCAATTGTGCTTAATTTCATCGTAGAGTAAAATATATCCTTCTGGTTCAATAGAGTGCATTCAGATGTCCAGTCACTCAATAAATAAACTTTGGACACCTTCTCCATGCACGGCTCTAGGGGTGGACTAGGAATGTATGAGGCAGGGGTGGGAGGCGGAGGGAAACAGCACAGTCTCTACCTTGCTGAATCCTACATTCTGGGAAAGGGAGAAACAATGCCACCAACCAAGGAAATCAGCCTGGTGGAAATCTGGGCTAATAAGGAGTCACAGCTATGAAGCCTTAGGATGAGAATGAACTTGCCACAGTGAGTGAGGCAGAGAAGTGGGTTCAGAGGTCAAAGAGGGCAGAACACCAGGCAGAGCCTTGCTGGCTGTAAAGCCTTGAACCTTTATTCTGAGCGAGCCGGGAGCCAACGGGAGAATCTGAATGGAGAGAAATGTGAGCTGGCCTGAGTTCTAGATTTCACAAGGATCCCCCTGACTGTCGTGTGAGCATAACCACCATGACCATCTTAACACAGCAGCTGTGACCACACACAAGCAGTTCTCAAGACAGAGCTTACCGGTGTTTCTTCATAGCACTCATGAGGGGCAGGGGACGGCCTTAGACTGAGATCCAGCCATTCCTTCCTGCACCCTTTCCCCCCTGCTCCCGTAGAAACTGGTCTCAGGTCTCGGTGAAAGGTTAATCAAAGAGGGAACTCCATCTGTGCAGCTATGGGGAAGTCGTGGTGATGAGACTTGCGGGGGTGATGATGTTCATGTCGGAAACCCCTCGCTCGTGCTCCTATAAGGAAACCAAATGAACTCCTTGGTTCACCAAGCTCAACTCGGGCAGAGTGTTTACTGTGGTGTGTTGGTGATCCCTGTGTGGGCAGAAGAAATTTGTTTGTCTTTTCCAGGAAAGGTTCACACAACAAATGCTATACTGTAAGGCGGTGGTTCTCAGCCTTCCTAATGCGGTGACCCTTTAACACAGTTCCTCATGTGGTGGTGACCCCAACCATAAATTTATTATCATTGCTACTTCATAACTGTAATTTTGCTATTGTTGTGAATTGTAATGTAATTATTTTTAGAGACAGAGGTTTGCCAAAGGGGCCGTGACCCGCAGGTTGAAAACCACTGCTCTAAGAGAAGAGAAGCCCAGCGGCTGCCCTGGATGTTACTCTAACAGTCTGGGTGGGAGGTGATGGTGGCCTAGGACAGTGAAGGTGACAGGGAACGTCTGAACTCTGGATACAGAGGGTGTTCATGAACTTCAGCTAATCCTAATACTCAGGAGCCCAAGGCAGAAGGATTGGCATGAGTTAAAATACAGCCTAAGCTACAATGTTAGTTCTAGGCCAGCCTGGGTTACAGTGTGAGACCCTCTCTGGAGGCAGAGGCAGGCAGATTTCTGTCAGTTCAAGGCCAGCCTGGTAACATTATTGTATCATCTACTGGAATGTAGCATCAGTAATCCAGTTATTCAGTAGCCATCTTATAATTCGAAGGAATCTGATAATCATGACACAAAGTAAAACACAAGCATCCAGAAGGACTCCAAGGCACACAGCCTGAGGAACTAGAGCAAGGCAGTGTCACTGGGTCAGGAGACACTGTGAGGGAGCCCGAGTGGAGGAAAGGAGCAGGGTATGGAAATACTGATTTTGAAATGTTAGTGAGACATCCGAATGGGGAGGTCAGAGCCCTGACCAGATGAGTGTGAGGGTCAAGAGGTGTCAAGGCAAATGATGAAACCTTGAGGGTTGTGGGTGTAAATGGGGGCTTAAAGCTGTGAGAGTAAACACTTAACTCCCGGGGCACAAAGCTAGAGAAGACAACCATTTGGAGAAAGGGCACCTCTAAAGTTGACAGGCAGGAGAGGAAGTAGCAATGGGCTTACCGGGGTCAGGAGAACGACACCCTGGAAGCCAAGCAGAATAAAGTCTGTTGACTTTTGTAAAATTCCCAGTTCAGAAAAATAATACAAAAACAACAGCCACCACCCCACCAATCAGCTCATTATAAAAATGACATTTGTACTGAGGGAATACTACAGTATTGTAACTAAATTGAGACGCTAAATGGGGGGAAACAGATCTAAAGGATCCCCTTGTCTACTAAAACATCAGTGGAGTTCATTTCAGCAGTGTGGGCCCACCCCACATTTCTGCTGGGCCCAACCAGCTCCTCTGCAGCACTCCACTTAACAGGTGCTTCGGCCTTTGGGCACGCCTCATCTATTTGCATCCTCCCCGTTCCACTTCCCTCTACTAGCCTGTCTCCTGGTGGTCTTCTGCTCACGGGATCCTCATATTAAGACTGTCCAAACCAGGATTTATCTTTTTTTTTTTTTCCTGTTAGACCATCTCAGATCATCTGCCTAATCTTGATGAACGGTCACCCCAGAAAGGAACTGAAGAATCACCAAAGGCTCCCCCCTTTTCTCTCATTCCTACACGATTTGGAGTCAAGCCCAGGAACCTTAGCTGCAGCACAGCCGGAATGGAATGCATAGCACG